TTAAAAATAAATTAAAAAAAAAGTATTCCAAAAATTATAATCTCAGATAATGGGGCCAAACAGGGTATGAAAGTCTAATATTCCTCTCAATTTTCCTGAAGTCGCATAAAAAATTGATGAGCTAAATCCATTAAGAGACATAAGTGACAAACTATCCACCACAACCAAATCAATACCAAGTAACATTAACCAATAAAATAATAGGACAATATTGGATAATAAAAGCTCCAGCCAGTAGGAAAATAAATTAACAATTGAATCGATTGTGTTTTTATTGGAAAATGCAAGTAAATTTCAAAAAGAGAAAAGGCAAACAATGTATAGTTGCATAACCTCAGAATTGATGGTGCATTAAAAAATTGGTCCATGTCTTACTGTAGTAAGAGATTAAAAATGTATTCCGATGTTTAGTATGTCGGAACAGATGGACTAGCCAGAATAAGGGTAGGATACTAAAAATCTCGTATGTCAGTTAAGTCATGTCCAATTCAACTTATCAAATAACGGATCAGATTTAGTATATATATATATATATAACATACAAACAACAAAAATTTGAACCGTAAGGGATGCATGCTCTGGAAATGATGAAAAGAAGTTGGCATTCCAGTAACTCTTCCTACTGATTAATCTTACACCAAAAACACTTTTCAGGCAATAATCATTTTCTTGATAAGTTGATTGCTGAGTGTCCCATGTTACCTTTGCTAAAGTTGCCGTGGAAATTCTTTCAAAAATAGCTTCATCAACAGCTTGATAAATGAAAAATAAAGCCTTGTTGTCTTTCTTGCGATTCTTCTTTAATTCATTATTTTGTTGGAGTAAGAGTAGCTTGATCTTCGGGTTGGACAAATCCATTCTCAACAATTTCCCGTAAGTCTTCGAAACCATATAAAAAGCGTTTATTTGTTGACTCCATTGACTATAATTCTTCCCATTGAAGCGAGGAAGTTGAAGTTGCTACATATTTTTGTTGTTGGATGTCATATCATAACCCTGCTATGATACCAATTTGTTGGGAAGGTTTGATGATTCTCAAACAAATTGAAGGAAATAATATTTGGTAGCGTCGAAATGAGTACCAATTAATTTTCTTACTTAACTTAAATGTGTCGTCTTAAATAGTAATATGGCAAGTAAGGGTCATTTCCCG